TTTGACACATTTGACCCCTGTGACCTTTAAAGTGGGTCAAGGTCATTTATTTGAATTAACTTAATAGTCCTTCATCCCAGCATGCAACAGGCCGAACTTCAGTACCCTGGCCCTTTTGCTTATTGAGATGAAGTCGCTTGAAGTTTTTACGACATTTGACCCCTGTGACCTTGAAAATTGGTCAAGGTCATTCATTTGAAACAAGAGGCCCAAGAGGNGGAAGTTTTTGACATATTTAACCCTGGGACCTTGAAAGTAGGTCAAACTAATTTTCATTCTCAAACTTTGTTGGGCTCTATCCCAGGAAGCCACCAGCCAAATATACAGATTCTATACCTTTCAGGACTTCAGAAGAAGACGTTTGAAGTGTTTGACACATTTGACCCCTGTGACCTTGAAAGAAGGTCAAGGTCATTTTCATTATCAAACTTTGTTGAGCTCTATCCCAGGAAGCCATCAGCCAAATATGAAGATTCTTTACCTTTCAGTTCTTCAGAAGAAGTTGTTGGAAGTTTTTGACATATTTGACCCCTGTGACCTTGAAAACAGGTCAAGGTCATTTTCATTCTCAAACTTTGTAGGGCTCCTACCAACGAAGCTGTCAGCCGAATATCATGACTCTTGGCCTGTCCGTTCTCCAGAAGAAGTTGTTTAAAGGAAAAGTTGACGGACGAGGACGGACGGACGGACGACGGACGCCGCCCCATGACATAAGCTCCCCTGCCCTAAGACATCTGACCCCAGTGACCTTGAAAGTTTGTCAAGGTCATTCATTTGAACAAACTTGATAGTCCTTCATCCGAGCATGCTACAGGCCCAATACCAGTACCCTGGGCCTTTTGGTTATTGAGAAGAAGTCGTTTGGAGATTTTAAGACATTTGACCCCTTTGACCTTGAAAGAGGGTCAATGTCATTCATTTGAACAAACTTGGTAGCCCTTCATCCCAGCATGTTACAGGCCAAATATCAGTACCCTGGCCCTTTTGGTTATTGAAAACAATTTGTTTGAAGATTTTAAGACATCTGACCCCAGTGACCATGAAAGAGGGTCAATGTCATTCATTTAAACAAACTTTGTAGTCCTTCATTCCAGCATGCTACCGGCCCAATATCAGTACCCTGGGCCTTTTGGTTATTGAGAAGAAGTCGTTTGGAGATTTTAAGACATTTGACCCCTTTGACCTTGAAAATTGATCAAGGTCATTCATTTGAATAAACTTAATAGTCCTTCA